GCAGGCTTGTGCTTCCAAATATGAGAGTGAAACATGGAGGGATACCATTATGAACGATTCTCTTTCTGTTGATGTATAGCATTAGATCAGGAGCGGAGTTATAGATATACTCCCCGAGTAAAAGTTGGTATTTTGAGGCGCGATTTTAACACGTGTATGCTAAGAATATGTGGAGAAAACGTTTTACCGGTCTTCGACTTCTCACTAACTACGAAGAGTTAGGTCCTGAAACTTGGAGGTCATATCAGGTAAAGCATAAGTACATACCTCCCTGAGCCGCAAGATGACACTCGTTGTGGTGGCTGTACACGAGTCGAAAAACCGGTTATGCTAAGAATATGTGGAGGGGTGTATATCTCAGAGAGATAACGTTCTCTAGGATTCGGCAACAATGGGAGAAAAATGCCCTTAGTGTGACATTTACATGGGAAACTGATTGAAGAGTGTATTCCTAGCCATGTGGACATTCCAAAATGAGGCCCCTTCCACAACAATATAGGTTCCTGGATGATTCCCTAACAACGGACGTGAAAACTATCTGCGTTAAGGTAAATCCTTCTTATTATGATATCCACCATCGCAGGCTTCTAGATCTAATAAACGTAGCCTTTCCGAAGTCGAACCGTGATGGACGCTTTAGCTCTAGAATCAATGCGGTTATCCGAATAGTAATCGATCATCGAATAAACCATAACTCTTTTAGAGGCATTGACAGTTTCGCCGTTTGAAGCTTATACATCGCTTACTCTTTGAGACAAGCATATGACTACTGGAGCTTCCAGTCTGGAAGTATCTTTACTAAATCACAGTGATATCAAACAAACACGCAATTTGTAATGTTCTGCGACACATTACTGCTGTCGACAGCATTATGTCATGTGAATCTCCACCCTCGGACTGCACGGTATTGTGCATTCCACGCATGGCGCAGCAGCAAAGATAATTATATTGAATTCTCTGTCCATTGTTGAACGATCCCGTAGAAGTCACTTTCAAGGAGTGCTGTATTTCGGGTCCTTACTCTCATTAAGAAACGCGCGCAGTTTACATGCAGATTGCAAGACAAAAGTACTAGAGTGTACAGAGTAAAGAAGGAAGAAGAAATATCGGAGCAGCGACGGTTGTTCGATGTTGATTCTGCACAAACAATGTTGAACAACGGTTTAATTGAACCTCCAAATGGATAGGGTATAACAATAATCGTTTTGGTACTCCATGGAAAAGAGAGGTAAAGTATCAACCAGAAGGCTTGAACATGAAGTAAGTAGGTACAACATAATACTGCGCACTTGTGACCACCTGTGTGTGTTAAAACGGAGGCATGAGTACCACAGACTGCAGTTATGGAAAGGAGTCATAGTTTGGATAAAACTACGACTTCCATACTAGCAGGTCAACTCAGAACGCAAGACGTGAACCCGAATAGAAACTAAGTTCACTTTCTCTTCTTCGGCTTAGCCGATCGTTTCTCTCGAGCTTCCCTGATCTTATCGGCGAGCCTATTGGCAACGACTTTTCGTTTCGCCTCGGAGCCCGCGATAGATGGATTGACGAGCCCTTGGCCGCGAGTGTGAGATGTCATATCTCGCTTGTATGCTGCCTGAAAAAGGAGATGCTGGATATTCCACGCACCAAACTGTTCCAACCGTACTCGAGCCGCCTTCGACGCCTTGTCTCCACAGCCATGGACTTCGGCGAGTATATGAGAGTAGCAGAATCTTCGTTCACAGTACTTGCAGGGCAAACCATACGTAGAGACCACTGATGCACCTGAAGCCTCTCATCACAACAACAAAGCAGCGTAGATGTTTACAATCGGCATATGCACAAATATTCGGAGGCTTGTCAGTCTTAGTCAGCGCCTTAGGATCTCCACATTGCCTCTTGGGCCGAGCTGTGACCTTGCCTTGCCGATGCGCTGGTGCGGAGGTCGCCGAACGCTTCGCTTCTATCTCTTTCGCCGGGCTTTTGTCACCTTGGGAGGATACAACGTATCGAATCCATCGCCAGACCCAGCGATAGTTACGCTAGGACACGTCTCTCACCTTCCAAGAGAGGCGCATTTCCCTGTTGATCACTTTCCCCCTGTGGCACCGCTCGGACCCAAACATACCGCATGATACCATCGCCACTGCTGCCATGCTTAAACCCTCTCGTCTCAGCACGTTCATGTACCAATCTTCGCGAGGCAGCACTCAACAAGTTATCAAAGCAATATGTTTCTTCCGACGCCAGGGAGTCGAGAGTCGCATCGACGGCTTCGATAGTCAGGTCCACCCGAGCGACGGGCTTCTCCCCAATTTCCGTGGTAGACACCCTTTTCATATCACTATGGGTCTCGAGCTTCTCAGGACTCCTATGTTCTGCGGCACTCTTAACCTGCGACGAATAAGCATCATATCATTTTCCGAGGGCGATAAGAAGAGAGCGAGCTCCGACCAAATCCTGCAGTCGCATACAGTCTTACCTTGCGATGCTTCTTGCTATCGCCATCGTTCGTGTGGGATGATCTCGGCGGGGGCACGACGGAAGGGTAGCGTGATAGTTCGGAAACGTCCTCCACCATACTCAATGCAGGTATAATAAACCCACGCTCTGCTGCATAGCTGTACAGGGTGACTAGTACCTAATGCACCCGTCTGTGATACGAAGGAGGAGTAATGCCGCTTACGTCATCTGCTCCTATAGTCTCAGAGTCCCCCACAAGAACAAGTTGCCTTTTAGCCCGCGTCACTGCAACGTTTAGGCGTCGATAGTCCTTCAAAAATCCGACTTCACCTGAGTTGTTTCCGAATGACCTCCAGTAATAAATAACGCACAAGAGAGGCGAGCCGGATCAGAACGTTGAGCTTCGGTTCACCTGCGTCGTTTGAGCGGACCAGCGACAAGACCACCACTTCCTGTTCTTGACCTTGGTAGGAATCCACAGAAGATACGAACGATGCATCAGTCTAAGAATCACCACCATTTCGCGACTTCGCCTGCTCACAATCACAGAGGCAGTCACACCTCTCCCGTAGAGCTCTTCAATGCGTCCCGTATAAGGCCCACTTGACGATTGTAAGGACTAATGACAGCTGTTTGGTCCCGTTTGATGCCGGCCGCCCTTAAAAACGAGATGTATCTGACATCAGCGCATTAGAGCAGACTAGGACTACATGAGAAACATACTGCTGTAAACAGTACACACGAGAGATATTGAAAGCTCACTTGGCGACTAGAGCCACTTCGGCACTGTTACTCCGGGACTCCTCTTCACCAACTTCATCCTCGTGCATCCAGTCCACTCCTAGCAACCGTGGCTATGTAGCATTCCTACCAACACTGCTTACCTGCTGTGTCAATCCACAATAACGGTCGAGAGAGCATCTCTTGGTCGGCCCAGACTCCGAGCGACTCCAACTTATCCGATGAGATCACTGATAAGACACATACTATGACGACGACGAAGCCGCCACCCCAAAGGCTCACTTCTCTCCGTTAACTCCTGCAGAGTCCGCGATTTCACCGATTCCGATGCAAGCAGATGCCCCCCGTAGAACTGGGCGTTGCTCCAACCCATTATGGTTTCATTCATGCGATATCTACAACAGGGGAAGAGTCAGTGTAATTTCCACAGCTTGAGATCCATTTCTCTTGCTCATGCTCATGGTATGTCATTGGAAAAAAAAGAGATCTACTGTCACCTACTGTGTAGTGAGCATAACACTGGGCATCTCACGACCCTCGCCAATCGTCGACTTCTCCATCATCTCCATGAGCCGACCGAACAGCGTCTCTTGCAGGCCTCCTTTTGCGGCTTCCTCACTGAGTACCGTAGCGGCCAGCTGCTTATGGTCTCCAGCTAAGACCTGAGCAAGCCTGCACACTGGATAAGGTCGCAGTAGAGGAGCCCACCGCTTTCCTCCCTAATAGTAGGGGAATCCAGCATGCCGCTTCTATGGCCTGTGCTGCCTCATCGATCACCACCACATCAAAGAGTCGAGTCGATGCATCCCCGCAACCTGCGAGCACTGCTAGTGCCATGGATGAGCAGGTCGCAAGACGAACGAGTTGAAGGAAAGCGTTCCCTCGTATACGGCTGCACGCGCCACGCATGATAGCAGTTTTCTCACGGATAGAAGCACTTTGTAAGATTCCTACACGAAGTCGCTATCCTTATTGTCACACCCAAGTGCTGGTCTCTTGCATAACCCGCTTCCTACCATTCTCTAGTGCTCTTGCCAAAGTCCTCCCCCCTGCCGCTGCGCAGGTCGAGAAAACTACGCTTGACTGCTGAATGACCTCAGAGACCGCCCGACGCTCTCTTGACCTGAGTTACAGACCCGAGCTCACATTTCGAGAGAAGTCACGCCCCTAATAGAGCATACTATGCTTATTGTACAGTTATCGAGCTCTAGCATCTACAACTATACCTTTACAGTACCTTATGACAACTGCGCGAATATCAAAGTTGAATAATTCTCAGTCGACTTCAACTGAAAATCCGCACACCTCAGCTACTGCCACTTAGCTACTGTTCATAAGGGCCGTAATAGCTCAGCTACTATAGTATACCGCGGAAGCGAGTACCGATCGTACTCAAGTGGTACCGCACCAGGTTTCGCATAGAGTGAAGCCCCCCATAGTCTGCTTTTATACTAGTATCGCGCACGCCAGCTCACAAATTCTACCGAAGTTCCTTCCTCAGCTCTCGGACTTCTCCTTGCATCGCTCGCCTTGCACCTCGATCCTTAGCCTTCTTACTCTTCTTTAGACACGAGTCTATCTCCTTACGAATATCTCCCACTAGCTGCTGTTGGTCATTCTGTGCGAGCTTGGCATCCAATGTATACCTGCAAGGAGCACAGGAGACATAGACGCATCGCTCCAAGGGAAATATCGTCTATTCGACTCATCCTGATAACATGTAATGAGCTCCATTGTATAATACAGAGAATACTCTAGTACATACGAGCCTATTGACAATACAGGTGAATGCGAGTCACAGACATCACCCTGTGACTAGTCTATTGGAGGGTGGGCCATAGTAGCCAATTCAGGTGACGATGCTAGACACTGGCAGTGAAGAGTCCTAGTCTATCGATAACCTTTCTCTCAAAGTAGCTCACCTTTCAAGGCCCTTCTCAACCCTAGCTGGATGCCCTATGCGGACCACATTGGATATCCCACCAACCGCCGTAACACGTTCCAAGAGGTTGTCCACGGCCACATTAGAGGGTGCACAGACCAGTAGCTTCTGATGTCTCTAAACAGATGATGACAACTCATCGATACATAACGGGATGAATATGAGGATACGAAATGACGGGCCGATCTTCTTGTGAGGCTATGAAGTTCGATCCGTAACTACTCACTATTCACATTGATAACGTAACCTACACCTCACCTGAATCGCCTCTAATATATACGATACAAGAACAGTAGTCTTGCCGGTGCCTGGAGGCCCATGGACTAGTGCTAATGGCGATGCATCAAGGCAAGTCCTCACGGCTCGACGCTGCACCTCGTTGAGATTGTCACCAAACGCCAGGGGGATCTCTTCTTGGACCCTTGGGTTAAGGGATGGTATAGGAGACTCGCCGAAACAGCATGACACGATTTCATTGTTCTTCTGATGACAGGAAAGACTGATATCTCTAGCGAGTCGCAATAGCCATGGAGATGCGAAATTTCTTCCTCCTTATAAACAGATCAAGTTTCTGAAAAACACAAAGCGCTGTGACTACCGTTTTTTCCAGCTTCCCCAGCATACTGCTGAGCCGCTTGTAGGTCACATCGCTACCTGAGAGACCAACAGTCCACGCATCTTTTACCCGAAAAGTCTGTTAGATCATACCAATCAATTGGTGCTCTCATCCGTAGATAACGTTCTCACAAAACAACGGAGTACCCACTAAGGGCAGATAGTTGACTCGTTGTTGACCACGAGTGAGCAAAATGCATATCGGTAGAGCTAGCGAGATTCCCACTTCCCATACACACTACTACCCATGAGAGCAAGGGAATATGACGGGGCGCCTCCTCCTACTCTTAACCCGTCCGTGTCCAACTCCGCATCATCCGCCACCACAACGACCGAGTACTGCCCTACTGAGTGGACCTACAGGAGAATGCTCGCCATTACGACGATAAGGTTTGTATTTCGAGACTGCTCATTACCACGCCGGCCACTTCAGGCTCCCCACTGAAGCCCTGATGGCTCGATAGACCAAATACGCCCACTATATCACCCGAGGAGAATCTGAGGACGAGGGATGATAGACGTTTGACCAGCGAGATATACTTCATATGAGGATTTCCTAGGATTCGAACTAGTGTGCTACAAACACGCAGGGTAGTTCCTTGAGCACCGCGATGAGATTATCTCTTACCTGTTGGGTGGCAGAGGTGATCGCTGATCCCCGCGTCCAGCAGGCTTCCCAAAAGTGAGGAGAGCACCTGAGTGATTCGATACAGATTCACTGTAGAAGGAGATCAGACTCACGCCCGTAAGGCCCGGTCGATACCGTATCCAGAAGGAGTTTAAGGAGGACGATGCCTCGATCCTGAGAGGAACAACTCAAGTCATGAGGCACTGAGATCACAAAGACATCAGGGATGAGGCCAGACAGGACGCCCCTCCATTGACTTCAAGAGCTTCCGGAGATTGACCCAACCTTGGTACTTGTAAGTCCGCGTTGGAATATGATCGCAGCACTTCTGTAGTTTGGGCGACTTCCTCGTCCCTCTCCATGACCAGCAATTTCCTCTGCAATTCCACAAAGGACTCCACCGTCATCGCCCGCTTGCCGAGATCCGCCGCCATGGATTCGAGTCAAGAATAGTCTACTAACGTCGATGGTAACGAATTGAGTGATGCCTCACTGTGATCCCGGACCAGTTGGAACCCCTTGATGAGGTATTCACTGTAGATAGAGAAGACGGAGAGCAATCTTGATGTCCCCAGGGAGCACGTGGGAGCTGATTATTCCATCCGAAGATCTGGCTGACTACTGAAATAGAGAATCCAGGTTCGAAGTGAGCGCCTCGTGATTCGAGGATGGAACGGTTGGAAGAGTTATCCGAGTCGCCCTGTCGTATTAGACCAGAGACAAATGAATGACTTGAGTGTGTGCGCGCATTACTGCGATTCACTTACGAAAGAGGATCCTTGTACTTCCTCTGTCCGCTTTCTGGTACCGAGAGACAGTGATAGCCATCAGTAGAATTTAAACTAGACTCGACCCATCGTTCAATCATTCTGAGTATCCAGGGGAATTCTCAGCCTCCTTCACACACGAGAACTGTTCGTCTTCGGTTCCCTCTCGCCTCAATGCTAAGCCAGAAGATGCGTACAACTTCACCAACACAAAGCTTGCAATATCTTCCACACGAAACTAGTCCGTCCCCAATGATATCTTGCAGCAGCAGCCTTTGAAAAACGCTTCCTCCGGCATCATGCGCTATAAAGCTTCTACATCATATGCTTGAACCGTCTCAAGTTACGGCTCATAGTTCTAAGCAGTTGTTGTCGAGCCTGATAAGAAAAAACACACTCTACACCTCGCCTCACGGAATTCTTCCACTACGATTCACCCAGATATGAAAGAGAACATTTCATTTCTGGGTATTGCTACCCTCAAAAACTTTCTACCCTTGTTCCTATTACCCTGGACTGCATACTCATATCGTTATGGAAGAAGCACACAAAGACGAAACTCAATCCTAGCTGGAAAATGCCGTAAAAGCATTCGAACATGAAGATGGAGTAAAAGCCGATGGGTATTTGGAACAAAAATGCAGCCATCTTAAGGACGTTACCTAACATACACCCAAAACGATACGGACCTTACTCGCGTCTGGAGGCTCATGCCGTTGTGGAAGAAACACACGAAGACGAAGCTGATCGCCAATTGCGCCATCCCATAGAATACTTCGAAAAAGAAGATTGAGTAGAATGATACGGGGAATTGCATCAAGAACGCAGCCATCTTGAGCATGTTACCTAACCACCACAGAGACAACCACCACCAAGGCTACCAGCAACCCTCAAAAACCAAGAATGGAGATGAGAGGGCCAACACTGACGCCCGGTAGCAGAAGCAGAGTGGTGGAAATGCTCTATAACTACTACCACTGAGCGAACGATGTTCTACGACGATGCATACGTCCACAGTAGGCTAGGAATGATTCAGACATTTCATACTACCCATAATGACGGTGATCAGCAGCGGTCTGAAGGACTGGAAAATGTTCCGCATAAGACTGAGGAATATCTGTTTGTACTGAGCCAAGACGACACCCACAGAAATCTGACACAGAGAAGAGAAACGCATCATATGTTTGTGGACACCTGGAGAGAGAACATGCAATCTCGTGAAACAACAGGCATTAAGCTCAGAAAATATTATTACTTCGAAAATAGCACTCTTGTTAGTGACTTCTGCAATTTTCGATTTGCATGCGGGAAGCAGGCCCGTAGTCGAGACCTGCAAGAAAGCGACTTGTGGCACTATCTCAGTGGTACTTTGGACGAACCGTCTGAGTGAATGTTTTCACTGAGTTGTTCACCGGAGTCAAGGAGTTAGTCGGTTTAGCTGGCGGGATGCTGGCGAAGCCTCGAAGACCATTGGACCATCTGAGTACAACTATCTCTCTGTGTTATGAAGCGCTCGTATTTGCGGTCAGCAGAATGAGGATCGATCGGTCCATAGTAGGTTATGCCTATTTACCCGATGGGGAGAGCAGTCCTGAAAGTGTTGCCCGAGGCCGCCATAACGCCACGTTGATACAGCGGGCGAAGAAGTGCTGGACCCAAGGCACGACGAGATAAGCCGAGCATTATCAGTAGTGGACGACGAACTCGGAAAAGGAAAGAAAAATGGCAACTCGAATAGCGGCACTCCCTTTTGATCAGTAGACACCATCGCCCATCGTGAATCGGACTGTCGTGAATGGCGACTCGCGATGCGCGTGGATCGATCACGATGGCGTAGCGAGATCGGACTGCGCTCCCTTGAATCACTCCACCCCACTCAGGGAAGAGAACCCTTCCTCCGATGAAGGCTACTATTGGACATCAGAAGCCGCCTGAGTAAGTTGAAGAAGTTGGGGTATGAAATTCGGAACTCCAGATCCAATGCTACCATCATTCTTGTTCGAAACGGAGGTGTGTTTCGATGATCTTCAGTGCCGTCGATGATCGATGGACTGCTGCCTGAATACATTCGTAGAGTCTGAGGGATTCGGCGGGGCCGGAGCACCTCGCAAGAGGCTTTATAGTTCTGTTTTGCCCCCAAGGTATGTCCAAAATGTCATCTCCATATGGAAGTACAGTCCCCTATGGTGAGCCAAGTTGGTATCGTGGTGACCACAACTCTCCCTATTACCACCAGACCCACCGTGAATGGCGCGATAGATGCCGCAAGTTTGTCGAAAGTGAGGTAATTCCTTATGTGAAAGACTGGGAAGAAGCGAAGAAGATTCCGACTGACGTTTACCAGAAGCTCTACCGGGCCGGCCTTACCCCATGCGTCGTAGGAGAGCGTGGGTTCGAGTTTGTGGACTCCTCAGTAGCTCCCAAGCCTGAGGACTACGACGTTTTCCACGAACTCATCCTTCTCGACGAGCTGTCTCGATGCGGCAGTGGCGGTGTAGTGGGTGGTCTCATCGTGGGCTATTCTATCGGCCTTACTCCCGTTATGAATTTCGCCCACCCAAGTGTACGCGACCGAGTGGTTCCCGCTTGTTTGCGTGGAGATAAGTTCATCTCACTTGCCATCACCGAGCCTCAGACCGGGAGCGACGTCGCTAGTATTCGAGCCACTGCCAAGCTGTCGGCTGATGGTAAGCATTACATCGTGAACGGGGAGAAGAAGTGGATTACTAACGGTATATTCTCTGATTATTTCACTACTGCTGTGCGGACTGGTCCAGAGGGCATGAACGGCATTTCAGTGCTTTTGATACCGAAAGGCCCTGGGGTCACTGTGAGGCAAATGGACTGTCAAGGGGTTTGGTCCAGTGGCACCACCTTCGTCGAGTTCAATGATGTGAAGGTGCCTGTGGAGAATATGTTGGGTAAAGAGAATGAAGGCTTCAAGGTTATCATGTATAACTTCAACCACGAGCGTTGGGGCTTCGTCGTACAGGCAGTTAGATTTAGCCGGCTGCTCTACGAGGTGTCTTTCAAGTACGCACAGAAGAGGAAGACTTTTGGCAAGACGCTTATCGAACACCCTCTTATTCGATGGAAACTAGCAGAGATGGCTCGCCAGATTGAGGGAGCTCATGCGTGGATGGAGAGTCTCACTCACCAACTGTGTACCATGCCCCCGAAACAAGCCGTTCTTATGCTGGGCGGACCCTTGGCACTTTGCAAGGCCCACTGCACTAAAGTGAGTACCTAACACGTTGAGAGTTTGAGACCGCGTGATGCTCCTCAGATGTTCGAATATTGTGCTCGAGAAGCATCGCAGATTTTCGGTGGTAACGCTTACACGCGTAGCGGCTTGGGAGAAGTTGTTGAGAGGCTGTATCGTGATGTCCGGGCCCTGGCTATCCCTGGTGGCTCGGAGGAGATCATGTTGGATCTGGCAGTTCGTCAAGCGAATGCTCAATATAAGATGGCAATTGCTGGAAGGCTCTGATGAATTTTTAAGAATGTCAGTGTGTGAGGAAGGTTTTTTCACAGTGATTTATTCGCCTTGTGTTGTGAGTGTTTTTCCTCCTCGGATAAGGGGTCTTCTCGGCTGGCGGTAGCGTTGTAGAGTTCTCAGCTACTCCTATCCCGATCCTTGCTCCCACGGTATTCCCTCCACCACTGACTTGACTTCCAGCGAGGAGGGGGCTCATGCAGGCCTATTGAGGGTGCGGTGCTCTACGACGGATCTGGCTGAGGCTGAGGTAGATGTAGCGCTTTGACCTTGCTTGTTGGGCGGTCTCTGCCACTCGAGGGGGTAGATTGTTTGTACGACTATTCTGTATCCTTTGCACTCAAATTGAATAGCAGTAGCGAGCTCGGGTGGGAAGGTCTACAGGGATTGTATTACCATTCTCAGATGTACTTACTGGTCTGCTTGTTCTACCATCGAGGAGATGACGAACCTATAGGGGTGGGACTATTGGAGCTGCACCGAGATGACGAGTCAGATCACTCGATGTGTTGATGAATCTCAAGCCATGGCGACCAGTGTACTCGCAGGTCCACACTCTCCTATGAATATCGGAGGAGCTCGGTCGCGGGCGTGACCATCGTTTTCTATATCCTCGAGAGGGATGTCTGTGAAGGGAAGAGTCTCGCTGACATTGCTATGGTGCGGCTCCTTGAGCACTTCCGCGACTAAAGCGTTGTGGCTTTCCAGATGGGTGGGGATCATCTTCACCTCGATCACCGTCTGACCATACGATCGAGCTCGATTTATTTACCAGCAGCGGAGATGGCTATCGGGCTGTCCCGAAGTGTCGATATTATCGTTCCCTCGGGTGGTACTGAGGGGGGCTCCGGCCAGCAGTGTACAAGCACCCCTCCTCAGGAGCCGAGTGCTCGACTATCCGCCTGGTCGTAAGCATTGGCATGGATGGTGGGGAAAGGGAGATGGCCCAAGCTGTATCATGGAGGAGAGCGCATCGGCATTTTCTTGGAGGACCGACCCACGAGGACAGAGACATAAGACGCCTGTAGGAGAAGCTCTGGACGCGCACGTGCTAGAAAACTAGAGCTGTATTCTACGGGGCATCTAGGCTCCTTGACGCTCTCTGTCTCGGTCGGCTTCTACACACTGTCCAGGTGTGACATTCTCCCGGCCTGCAATATCTCATGGGAAGAGTTGGACCAGTTGGAGGCAGACTTGACAAGGAGGGAGGAGGAGATCACCGATTTGAGGTCTCAAATCCTCAGTGCTGAGGGGAAGCAACGGGATATGAAGGTGCCGCTATCTAGAAATGATGGCGCTGCGTTCTCTCCGATATGCTATGCGCAGTAATCATTCGTTTGTATATTATATGACTACTTAGGAGGAGCTGGAGAGGCTGTCGGAAGCACCTGTGTGCCTAACGGACCTCGACGTGGGTTGTATACTGGAAGGAGTTGATGGCTTCAATACCCTACGGATGATTAACTCCCGATGGAGGAGCGCTACAGAAAATCTGATGGCGCGCTGCTATGAGATGTGCTATCAGCTTAGATGTCATAATGACGTGATCCGGGTAATGGGAGTCTACTTTATCTTCGAGGTGCAGTTGTGGGAATATTCTGCTTCCTGGTAGGCATTCCAGTGGACGGTTCGCCGCTTAGCTGAAGTGGAGGCAGCAGGGAGGCGGCTGAGGGCGGGTATCGGAGGATTAGAGCGTAGACTAGAGCCTGTTGGTGACATGCAGAGGGAAGTAGGAAAGCTCTCGAAGTCTGGGTACCACTCGTCGAGCAAATTTAGGTATCCTTCCAATGCAAGGAGATCGATAGACTGGAACGTGAGATATTCCGAGCAGCGAAGGAGTCGGGGCATAGTAGTTCCACAGAGTTGGCCGAGGATGTACACGCACAGGAAGTATCACATACGGGAACCCGTGGTTAGGGGTGCCACGATCAAAGCTGATTCCACTTTATCAAGCCCTGCTTCTTATGGTGCTATTGATCTCCTCTGGCTATTCGTGGCACACTTGGAAATAACATGCGCAGTTGTCGTGTAACAACAGAGTCTTTAGGAGTGCTTCACTGCATTGATGGGGGAGTACTCGGCCTTGAGTGAGTCCTATTTCGCCGACCCTGATTCGGAAGACGAAGACGCTCAAGAGGTTATTCGACGACGCAATTCAGACGTGGGCAACGGGGTTCTCGATTTTCGACAGTCTTGGCTGTTGCAAGATTCTCAATCTCTCTCTCCGTCTCAACGCCCTACGCCGGAGGACTAATGCACGTGACGAAGTCATCAAAGAGGCTGAGCGGAGGTGCTGCTGCCTCGAGGAGACACTAAGAAAGCTACGTGATGATGTAGGGATGTTTATCTTCATTCGGTGATCTTGGTTTTTCCTCACAGGTGACAGTAGTGGAGTTACGAGGGCAGCAGTTGCGTCCCCGGATGGAGTCTTTAGTACAGCGATTATCAACCATGGGCTTTGAGCATGCCGAGAAGATGTCGAGATTGAATATGGAATTGAGGGTTGAGGAATATAAGGCATGTCGTCAATAAGTTCAGGCGTGGCATACATGCATAGTGCTGCTCGGCCGTAGGGAGTCTCGATACCACAGAGTTGAGTTAATTGGCAGGTTCACACGCTTGTTGTTGCCGGTTGTAGTTTTGTTAAGACAGTATGACGAGCTTCTTTATGGGGCATTCGCCATGGGCTATACCAGTCGAACCAACGGAACTCCATTCTCACAATCAAGGTCCACAGATAAGACTACCGGTAAGCCATGCACTCCCTGTCGAGTACTTCTTTGTCTTTTGCCGCGGCTATATTGGGTGATCTATAGTAGTAGGAATTTCCCACTAGGGAACCCGTGAGGTAGAGTAGTCTCGTGGGTTGGAAGGAATACTACCTCAATTCGTATCCACGTCATAGTGTTGAGATAGCGTACTCTCCTCGTTGTAGGGCGAGAAGAGAGGACAGTATGAACATACGCTTCCGTCTGAGGATGACTTTCCGGAGTATCCGGACGAACAACAGTACATCTCTGCACCTCCTGAGCCCCCAGAGCCTGTTGTCGAGCCGTTGGAGTACTTGTCGCAAGATTCCTTACCGAAGTTTACGGAAGACCAGCTCCGGTGAGTAGCGGCCTATGGGACGCCTTGCCGAGATTCAATATGTGATCAGGGAAAGCCGCATGAGGCGAATACCCTACGCAGAAGTGCGTGAAGCTGTTATGCTCGAGCGAGCCGAGGAGGCTGAGGTCACCAAGATAATAGGGGCTGAGATCCGAGCCAAATGCCGGTGACCAATTCGCCATCGCTTGGTGGAGCTCATCGTGACAGTTTTGTGGAGAACTGTTTGTTAGGCCCGAGATTGACGAGTACGTGGACTGCGTAACCGATAGATATCTAAGTCTTCTCAAGTGTAAGCCTATTGCCTGGAAGATGCGTCGCTGTGTAAAGAAATATGAGACATCCGACTTCGTCGCCAATCGAATGCGAGTAAGTAGTCCTTAACGGGGCCTCGCTTCGTTTCCGGCGTTCGCGTGGTATCATGGCATTTGTATTTGTTGTTGAAGTGGGATGTGTCAGGAATTGATGGCAGAGCGGGAGGAGGCCGGGACTAGTATCACGAAGCGTAATGAGCTGAGTAAAGCTAACAAATGTTTTATACCCAAGGAGTATAGCGAGGCTGATCATAGGCTCTGACCACTGGTCTGACCATCCATGTTATTCGAGGCCTCTCGGGTTCTGCCACAATTGTTGTTTCTGGATGCGATCTCAATTTATTGCGTCAGAAGTCACATGCCGTGTGGGGTTCTCCCAGCGACTTTTATGGGAGTTGCATGCCTATCTGCCAGAGATGTCAGTCGAGTTACGATGAGGATGATAATACGGAGGCGGTGGGTCCCTCCAGTCTGGATAGCGTCACGTTCACTTCTTAGTCATGTCGATATCATCCGAAACAATTCGTGTGTCGATGGCATCCCAATGAACGGAAGCGAGATGCATGGGTCTGGGATGGTGACGATTTAGGCTACTATGGTACGATTGGTTCTGCCCTCAGCTGTAGATGTGTTTGACTCTGCCTTGCAGGGAACGTTGATGGAGATGATTATAAGGCATTGTTCTGGGACTGTTGTGGATCAGAGAACCCTGACGAGAAAGGATGTAAGCCTGTCCAGCAGAGGTTACTACATCTGACCCTACGAGGTCGCTAGGAGAAGAATTCCAAGAGTTGTGTTCTCTTCCTCAGGTACAACGTCTCGCCATGTAAGCTACGACGAGCCTTTAGACGGCTGATGTTACTATACGATGAAAGCACTCTATAAGTTATCCTCGATTCCTAGCTGGAAAGGCTGATCTCGTTGTCAATCGAAGAGACGTCTCTGGTGGCCGTCAATATTATATATTGACTATATCGCGACAGCTCTGCGATGTTTATAGGGTCTGGATGTGGTCACAAAATCCGTCGTATAAGCTACAAATAACGCGGGTTTCGAGAGCCCTGTCGGTTGACTCTCCAAAAGCTCGGCACAGCCATGGTTCTAGTTTAAGGCTGACACTGCCCAGCATGCGTTACATATGCTCAATTAACCGAGTCAAGGCCCCTTCTTGAGTTTGTTCCTACCACGACGGGATAAGCTTTAAATATTCCTGACGCGTGGCTGGGGTGGTCAGCTTATAGATATCTGCAAGATCATCACTTAACTGAATCGGATTCGGTGAATCCGCTGGAGAGGATGCTCAGGCTACCTTGGTCAGATGTACCAGGCAGACACTACTTCTACGGAGAAGGCTAGGTCTAGTGGTAAGTACGCTTGATATCGAGGAACTGAGTACTGACTGTCGAGAGTGATTCACATGGGTATGTGGTAACGAACCCTGGCATCTGGCCCGATCAACAGGTGGGTGCTCATAAGCCTGCATAGTATGCCCGACTATCACCCTTGTATCATGTCTTGGTTACCAAGAACTCAGGCATTGCCTGAGTTCTTTCCGGCATCCTATAGTCACTGGTCATTGATTGAGCAATATTTTTTCGACAGGAATATTTCATCTAGTGGTCCTGCTACTGTGGAGTCTTCAACCACTCAGATCATTCCGAAGCCTGCCGAAATGGCCCTACTCCTCCTCTCTTCAGAACGACGAGTGTTGCGTTTTCTTCATCCGCAGGAGCCTCAAATCCCGTTTCTAAGCTGCCAACTCATGCTCAGGGATGGGTATCAATCTCACAGAATCGGGGACCAAAGGCTTGGTAACACTAGCTTCCGTTAAAGCCGCCAGTAATGCATCCCAGAGTACCCATCTTCAAAGCCAGGTGCTCGTTCCACGCCTGGTATGAGACTTCCAGTAATTGTCGTGTACTCAGTACGTCGCTCATCGGGCTATAGAGATCTCCCGTATTCTCGAGGATGCCCTCAAGGGCATCTCCAGCATCAACCCTGAAGAGGCGGTCCGTGCTGATGCTCCGCATCGGTAGGCCGTCGTTAACCCACCACTGAGCTCTCGCCCAAATATTATCAGTTATGTGGGGGGACTTGACCATGCAGACACGTACCTTCACCGGCCCGCACTGGGGCTATCGTCTGGTGCAGATGGCAGGTGAGTAGTCGGTGTTGCATTCAATAGGACATCCCTTGAGGTACCTGATGGTTGAGCATCGAGCCTCTGGAACGCCTGTCAAACCGTGGCTCCGTATGAATCCTATCGTTGCCCTTTTGGCCATCCCTTATCTCAGATGCTCATCACTCCCCGAGGCCGTTTCCTCATGTTGCTCAGCTGTCTCAGTGTCCTGCCAATCTAGGATGCTTCTTGTTGCAGCTCTGCAACGAGGCACGTACATTCAAACAGAGAGTCCTATCTTTCGTGTGTAACTCTCAGTCTTGAGTAGTGCTCAATCAACAGGGAGGTATGGTGGCGCAATGATTCTCACCGGCGCGCTACGGAGGATTGTGTCGGACTTGGAGAAAATCTTATCGGGAAATTCCAGACTTCTTATCGGACTAGCGAAAAATCGTAGACAGATGGGTAAATGACGACGCTTCGTGGACATGCTCGAGCAGCTTCCTTTTCACGTGTGAGCCCAGTTGCCACTCCTCACGGAAGCAGTGTTGAGTTGCTTACCCTGACCTTCTCCGCTCAGACCCGACAGTCGATATTCTCGCATCTGACCCCTCCCCCCTAGTCGCCGGGAACACTCAAGATTTCCGGTAGCTCGAGAGCCCGCTTGAATCTCCCATCGTTATATCGATAGAACTCTCCGTTTTCAGCCGATGTTCGGTTTCCTTGAAGAGCTCTCCCGCGATGGCGCATTCTGGTGAAGCGAGTCGGCAAGGCGGGTAGGCCATGTGATTCTATCGTCGCTAGTCTCGTCGTTCTCGTATTCTTCCAGTCCGGTCAACAGTCTGCCGCAGAGGATCACGACATGAAAGCCGGTAAGAGTCGGCGTAGAGGTGTTTCCACGGTTCGGAATGCTGATTTTCCCGAGCCAGATGAGAAGTACGGCGCTTTTCAGAAGCGTCTCGGGAAATGCCAGAAAATTGAATTTCAAACTACCCGGCACCTAGAGGGTTCCAAGCAGGGTGTTCCTAAATGGTAACAATATTTCCGGTGGAAGTTTCCCTGCTATTTCCTGGAATTTGAAAAAATAAGGAAGAAAGAGGAAAAATTGCCAAAAATGGCAAAAATGCTGTTAATACTGTTAATTCAACAGCTGCGGAGCGAGCGAAGCGAGCGGAGCATATACCACAACAACAGGCACTTTCGCGTTGTGCGTGCGCGCGTGTGCGCGTGCAGAATTACTCTGGCTTAACTACGAAACGTAGGAGGCCACCAGATAGATCAAACGGCTCCTCTATATTCCGAGGTTTGCGCAATAATCGAAAAACTCGATTATGCGAACAGCTCGAAGAGATATGCAGGAACACCTTTAATTACGGAAAAATGTCCTACCCGGGGATCGAACCGGGGACGTATTCCAGGGTAGGGCTTGGTGCGTCTATTAAATGAATCAATAGACGAGGACAAAGTGAGCTCCACCCCTTCGTCACGAAGACCTAGTATTAACAGTGTTAAAGTTAAGCTGAATGTCGCAGTGATGATCTCACCAGCCA